TGGTCATCCTCTCCTCCTCTTCCTCCCACCCTTCCCAGCATTAGAGCCTTTTCCAGAGAGCTGGCCTTCACGCATTGCGTCCGAAGTAGGATAATTTGGGCCTGGTCATTTGTGCCTCGAGGGAGAACTCCGGGCTGATTTGTTCAATGATCCATCCGTTTGTTTTCTTGGCTGTCCAGGGTGTTCTCAGGAGTCTTCTCCAACACCAAAGTTCAGAGGTGCCAACGCTCTTCCTCTCCTGCTTCTTCAACGTCCAACTTTCGCTTCCATAGAGGGTCACAGGGAACCCCACGGCTTGCACGATTCTGATCTTTGTACCTACAAAGAGACATCACAGTATTTGAATATCTTTTCCAAGGCCTTCATGGCTGCTCTACCAAGTGCTCCTCTGCAGCATATTTTTTGACTGCTCATGATTGGTGGTTGATCCTAAAAGGCAGAAGCTCTCCACCACTTCAATACCTTCATTGGCAGTTCTAAGGTTGGTTGTCCTACTGTTGTCATTAGTTTGGTCTTCTTTATATTTAATTTTAATCCCATTTTTTCACTGAGCTCCTTGACTTTCATTACTAGAGCTTGCAGATCCTTGCATTTTCAAGTATCAGAATAGTGTCGCCAGCATAGCTCAGGTTATTGATGTTTCTTCCTCCAATTTTAATGCTCATCTTCCAATCTAGCTCCCCTTTATATTCAGCATATAGGTTGAATAAATAAATAAGGGGAGAGTATACAGCCTTGTCACACTCCTTTGCCAACCTGGAGCCAGTCTGTTTCGCCATGTTCTGCCTGTACTGTGGCTTCTTGACTTGTCTATAAGTTCCTCATGAGGCCAATGAGGTCTTCTGGGAATCCCATTTTTCCGAGCACTTTCCACGGCTTGATGTGATCAGCACAATCGAAGGCCTTGTCATAACTGATGAAGCACACGCTGCCTTCTTTTCAATATGCTTTGGCCTCAGTTGCCCAGCATGCATCAGCAAGAATGTCTTGTGTTCCTCAGCCCTTTCTAAGCCATCTGGCATCTCTTTTTCCATGTGGAGCTCTAATCTGGGTTGGGTGACCCCAGCACGATTTGGCTGGAGTATGAAATTAAGGATCCTGTGCGGTTGTTTGTGTGCACTCTGTTAAATCTCCTGTTCTTGGTACCGGAATGTAGATTGGCCTCTTCCAACCTGTTGGCCACTGTGTCATTCTCCAGATTTGCTATTTACGGCATTTATGGGCTGAGAAGAAGGGAGGGGAGGGGGGCAGATAAGGGGAGAAGCTGCCTAGCACGGTGTGCCTATGCTAAGTGCAGCTGGGGCTGGGGGGCCTTAAAATGGAAACCTTGGGGGTTCGTGGTGGTCCAGCCACGACGCTCCAGGATCCCGGGGCTCTCTCCTCTGCCCGGCTGCGCGGCCTGCCCAGTGCTCTGCGCCGGCAAAGGGAGGACCCGGAGGAAGGAAGGCCGGCCGGGCTGCAGCGAGCGAGGAGCGGGCGAGGGCAGGAAGGAAGGGCTGGAAGAGGGTCACCGAGAGGGTTCGGGCGAGGGCGCTGGAGCGCGGCTTTTCTCCCGCGCAGGGACGTAGCTGCTGGGACCTCTTTGTCTAC